TACTGTAATTCACCAAAAGGGTTTTTTTTATGTTCAAAAGGTTGTACTACATTCCTAGTGGCCAGACTGACTTACTGCAGCTCAAATTTGGCCAATATCACCCTTACTGTATGTACAGTACACAACTATTTTCTTTAAATAATTACTATAATTCACCAAAAGGTTTTTTTTAATGTTCCAAATGTTGTAGTACATCACTAGTGGCCAGACTGACTTACTACAGGGGAAAATGTGCCAATATCTTCCTTACTGTACATACAGTACATAATTAATCTTAGAAAAAAATACAGTAATTCACCAAAATGTTTTTTTTTCATGTTCCAAAGGTTGTAGTTTGTTTGTAGTTACATTTTGCCAATATCTCCCTTACTGTACATACAGTACATATTTATTCTTAGAAAACAATTACTGTAATTCACCTTAAGGGTTTTTTATGTTCCAAAGGTTGTAGTACGTTTGTAGTTACAAGACTGACTTACTACAGGTGAAATTTTGCCAATATCTCCCTTACTGTAGTTACAGTACATAATTATTCTTAGAAAGCAATTACTGTAATTCACCATAAGGGGTTTCTTATGTTCCAAAGGTTATAGTACGTTTATAGTTACAAGACTGACTTACTACAGGTGAGATTTTGCCAATTTCTTTCTTACGGTACATACAGTACATAATTATTCTTGGAAAAAATTACTGTAATTCACTAAAGTGTTTTTTTTCATGTTCCAAAGGCTGTAGTATGTTTGTAGATACAAGACTGACTTACTACAGGTGAAGTATTGCCAATATCTTCCTTACTGAATGTACAGTACACAAATATTTGTATGAAAAAAATTATTGTAATTCACCAAAAGGGGTTTTTCATGTTCCAAAGGCTGTAGTACGTTTGTAGTTACAAGACTGACTTACTACAGGTGAAAGTTTGCCAATATCACCCTTACTGTACATACAGTACATAATTATTCTTAGAAAACAATTACTGTAATTCATCAAATGTTTTTTTTCTAATGTTCCAAATGTTGTATTACATTCTTAGTGGCCAGACTGACTTACTACAGCTGAAATTTTGCCAGTATCACCCTTACTGTACATACAGTACATAATTATTCTTAGAAAACAATTACTGTAATTTACCAAAAGGGTGTTTTTATGTTCCAAAGGTTGTAGTACATTCCTAGTGGCCAGACTGACTTACTACAGGTGAAAGTTTGCCAATATCACCCTTACTGTACATACAGTACAAAATTAATCTTCAAAACAATTACTTTAATTGGCCAAAAGGTTTTTTTCATGTTCCAAATGCTGTAGTACATTTGTAGTTAAAAGACTGACTTACTACTAGGGATGTAACGATTACCAGTTTGACGATAAATCATGATAAAAATTCCCCACGGTTAGTATTAC